TGCCCATCTTCCTCTACTTTATATGGGACGCCGCCACAGCATGGCTTGACAAGCGGTGCATCGGTGCGTGCCCAGGATCTGAACCGGCGAACCCCAGGCTGCCGCAGTGGAGCGCGCGCACTTAACCACTTGTGCCACCAGGCCAACTGTAAATTTCGACTAATGTTTAGTACATTTCACTAAATGGTACATAGATTAGGCTCAATCAGAAAGAGCCAACTAAGATAGACAACTCTTGTATAGTATAGAGGTACTGTACCTCTGATGATAGTATATTTGTTAATCTCAGACAGAGAGTAGAAATTCACGTATGTCATAGTTTTATAAAATAAATGCTCAATGTGCTTAAATGCATTATTAACATCTTTGGTAAATATGCTTTAATATATTCTTACCACAGGGCTGTTGTAGAAATGTACCGCACAAATTCTGTAAAAGGGAGAGGATCTGATGATGCTCCACAGCTACGACACACACACTATAGGTAAAAACATATGTTTAATTTATATTTAATTACATTGATTAGATAAATATCTAATAAACTAGTGAAGCCATCTCACCTGTTCATACAGAGTCATAGCAAACTTCTGGTGAGTGACACAGGACTTGGAGGTACACATGTCTGCGTCTCTGCTTGGCACTATGTGAAAATGAATCCTCTCCAAGATATTTTCCTAATTTAAAAATTAAAAGACAAATGAGTTGTGGGTCTTACAGAGGACACTTCGAAATACAACTCTTTTTAACTTTACAAACTTAAAAATCTTTTTAAGATTTTCCGAAGTGTTACATGCAGGAGTGCCATACACACTGTCAGCTTTTCAGCTTTTCCTCTTCCATCAACACAGCAAACGTTGTTCAATTATTCACCTTTTGTAGCATTAGCTTAAAAAAATTCTTAACAAAACAAACACTATAATGTAACATATGATTTTAATAAAGATTTTTAAAACTCTTTTAAAAATCAACTCATGGTGGCTGACATCTAGAATCTAATATTAGAAAATGTTTCCTATGTTCCCAGCTTTCTCATATGATTTTGAAAAAGCAGTTAATTTTTCAAAAATCCTACTTGGATCATCTGGATAGTCTATATAACTTACATCAAAGTATCAATGATAAAGGCTTTTAATATCTGCACTAACACCTTAACGCAAGGAATGTGCTCTGCAACAAATTTCATATGAAAGTTCAGATTTGTAATACAGATCAATAAGGGGTATTTATTTCTTTAACAAAATAATCCTTCTTTTTACCAAGGCTTAACCAATAGATTCTTTTAATTAGCCAACTCCCCCCCACCCCTCCGTTCTGCCCCAGGACATTTAAAACCATCCAATTATTTAAGACTGCATTTCTAGATATTCCATGAATTATCATATCATGTATTAGTACATTTTATTTAAGTGAAAGTAAAACTATAAAGTACAGTATTGTGCAAAATATATTTATGTTTTAAGCAGTGGATCAATTATAAATGTAAGAAATATGAAAAGCATATTTCATGACTGTGTATGCTGTTTTTGACACACCTTAATCAACATAGCAAGTTTGCTAAGCAGTACACTAGTGAAGGAGCTTTCCAGCTGTCCAAGGAAACAGTCAAGATGCTCATTAAAAAAATGGTAATAACATATAGATGCCAAATGAATTCTACAGATAGTAAATTCTACAGAAATTCAGAGAATTGATTGGGTGGTGTAATCATACATTGTCCAGTAGGTATAACTTAGATTGACCCTTAACAAACAATAGATTAGAAAAGTTTTAAATGTTTCAGGAACTTGAAGAAAGCCTGTAAAGCAGGAATTTAAAAGATGTGTTTGAAGAACAGAACGGAACCATCTCACTAGAAGGGAAAATTCAGGGAGGAAGCAAAGAGATAAGCTGGAATTTAACTGTAAAGGGGCTTAAATGTCAGAAGAGCCTAGATTTGAATTACAGAAATATATGAAGAGCAATCACTAATCTGAAGAAAATTACGTTAATCTGATGGCCGTTAAAAACAGACTGTAAAGAGGATATGCTGAAAGGATACTAGCAAAGAGGCTTAAATCATATGGAGAGTAGAGGCCTCGACAAGGAAGAAGTGATGACCGAGAAACAACATGGCAAGGAAAACCTTAAAAGGGTTTCTGATGAAAAGAATTTACAGCATTTGCTGAACAGATACAGGACTAAGAGAAGAAGTGGTTATGCCTTAACCACAGGTGACATCTATGTTACCGAAACATTTAGGAATCAACATACATATTTTAGAAGGTGTATAAGGTACACTGCTGATCAAAGGAATGCTCTCCTTATCAATATGGTGGTAACAGAGTCTCAGAACATTAACCTCAGGCAGTGATTCTCAACCTGGAATGAGATACATATCAGAACTGCTGCCCCTGATGGCTGCCCACCAAGATCCGCTTCTTTCCCACAGAGAATCATTGCATTGCATGTAATGAGAAATGTTACTGCTGGCAGTGTGTTGCACATGTAAATCCTGTGGAGGCACAACACTTCCTTAAAAGTGATATAATTTATATTTAATAAACTGTTTTGCTCCAATAAATAAATTTTAAAATATTCTAGTATTTTACAAACACTCAATACAAATTAAAGCAGCACAAATCATCAAAAGCAAACATACACGAAACACAGATGGATTTAAAGGAGCTCTGAAGGATGAGTAAGTCATGGATTCACTGACCAGTTCTGATACTTTTCCATTGTTATAAATTTATGTTTAAGTTGTCTCAAAATTTGCATCATTTAAGGAATGCAAACTACTATCCAGACTTAAGGATTATCAAAAATACTTACAAAGCACTCTGCAGCATCATCCATAAGGCCAAGCTGAAATCGCTGCTCATCTTTGAAGCTTTCTGCAAGAGCGTGCCTTATGTTATCTGAGGGGAGTGCTTTTTCTCGACTGTGCTGAAACTGTGCAAATGTTGTCTGCAAATCAACAAGTACATCAGTAAGTGTAATGTCAACAACCATAAAACACTTCAATAATTTCATTACAACATAGTGAAACTCAAAACACTAGACTTAGACACTAATACAAAACACTGTTTTGCTTGAAAATCCCATAAAAAATTAATTATTTGTATCAGTTATGTTAGAAATGACTGCCCCAGACTCTAAATCAAGTGTGAGCAAATGTGTGAACAAGAATTAAACACATAGCGCTTTCAGGTCCCATCCTCAGAGATTCTGGTCGACTAAGACATTTTTAAACTGTTCCCCAGCTGACTCTGATGCGCGTTGTTTAAGGAAGAGTTTTGAGATAAATTGCCTTAAATCTAAAAGTATACTATAGGAATTAAAATTATGTTAAGCAAGAATAAGCATATAATGACATAACCAAACCTCAATGCCTGCAGCATCATTTCTGCCACACTCTATGTGACTGAAAAGAATCACTAAGGCCAGCCCATATTCAAGGAATGAGACTCCACCTTTTTGACAGGATGAATGCAAAAGAACCTACAGACATGTTTTAAAGCAGCCACGACTCACCTCACCCCTGAGCTCACCTCTATCACTCTCCCCGTTGCTCACAAAGCTTCTGCCACCCAGGTTCCTGGAACATGTCAGCACACTCCCGCCTCAGGGCCTTTGCAGTTGCTGTTTCTCTGCCTGCCTGGAACGCCCTAGTCCACTCCGGCACCTTTTCCAGGTCTTGATTCAAATGGCGCTTTCTTGGTGAGGCTTTCCTGTCCACTCCACACTCTCTATTCCCTCTCCCTGATTTATTTCATCTCCTGAGCAATTAACATCATCCAGCATACTCTGTATTCTGCTTCCTTACTGTCTCCTCCCCTATGAGAACACGAGCTCCATGAGAGCAGGGGTTCTGATCAGTTTGTTCACTGCATATCCTCAGTAACTACAGCTGTGCCCAGAATTCAGTAGTAGCTCAAAAATATTTGTTAAAATGAATAGAGAATTATTTCAGAATAATGAAAAATGTAATGTGCCTAACAATTTATACTATTCAGAATATTAATTGTAGCTGTCCTTATATAAAAGTGGAAAATGAAAACAAGCCTCAATAAACCATACTTTAAGAATTCAAAACTATAAATCACTTGACAATGAAGTTGAATTACAAATAAACTGACCAAATATCAACTATAAAATAAAATAAAATTTTTGGAGAAAGAATTGATAGTAATTTTTCAGAACTATTAAAAAGTTACCTTCAACGCACAAAATATGCAGGCATCTCCTTGACAAACATGTCCAGTCAGAACCCGCAAGCTTCGTCGGAATATATCCAATTGCCATAAAACCTAAAAAATAGTGAGATGCGAAGAAAGAACACAGTAAGATTTTTCTCACCGTGAGAAAAGACAGATTTAAATATTTTTAAAATAAATAACTTCTCTTAATCTCTTGTACACAATCAGACATCCACAACCACTAAAAATAACAGCAAGTATAAAACTGCTACATACATGTAGTGCATATAAAAGATGGATTTAGAAGATCTTCCTATCGACTCACATGTAAAAATCATGACAGGAATATAGCAGGAAAAACCTAATTCCTCAGTTAAGGATTTTATATGAACAGAAAACATGGCATACTGAATGGAGGACTTGGCAGAGACATGAAAGAGGAAGTGATTATAATACTCATTACAAACCGAAATTTAGGAAGGAAATATCATTGGAGTCGAAAGCTAGGGTGTACCAAACAGGGGTCAGTGCTTTGTGGAAAGAAAAAGGGGTGAGCAGTGGCCCATGTGGTCACTGTATACTAAATGAGAGAGGGGCATCTCTGTGGTAATGGGGGGTGCAGCATGGTAAGAGACAGCAGTTAAGAAATAACCTGAATATATTTTCTGCAAATTATCCATTTCTCATCTGCTACTAAAAGACAAAAACAAAACAAAAAAAGACTGTAATTGTTGAAATAAATCAATCTAGCACTTAAAATCATTCTGAAAAACCTGAAATCTGCACCCTGAGAATAATAATAGTCATGTCCCATAGAGTTTTTGTAAGGAATAAATAGTACGTAATAATATGTAAAGTGTTTAGAGCAGTGCCCAGTACATAACCGGCATGCAATGCATGTCAGCTGTATTTCTTCTTGTAAATACTACTACAACAAACAATGAAACTCTTCAAGTTCCCCTACATCTTTCAGTCATTTCCTCAAGCAATATAACTAAGAAAATTCATTCATGGCCTCTCGTTTCTCCCAACTAAAAACAAAGGTTAACAGAAACAAATGATTTTAATGTTTCCTATATTTTCAATTATTCAATAACTAAAGGTCACTTCAACATTTCCCTCTGAGAGTTGCCTTTCTTAAAGCCTAACTAATAGGACCCATTTACCTATCACAAATAACTCAGTGTTTTGTAAAGCACTTGAAAATGTTTCATAACTTTCTTTTTTTTTTTTTAAAGATTTTATTTATTTTATTTTTCCCCCCAAAGCCCCAGTGGATAGTTGTATGTCGTAGCTGCACATCCTTCTAGTTGCTGTATGCGGGACTCGGCCTCAGGATGAACGGAGAAGTGGTGCCTCGATGCGCACCCGGGATCCGAACCCGGGCCACCAGCATCGCAGCCACCTTAACCACCAAGCCACAGGGCCGGCCCGTCATAACTTTCTTGTATATCATATCCTATCATACCATAAAATACACTACATGAAATTCATATTACCAACAAGGAAGAAGAAGATCATGACAGCAAAGCTTTGGGAAGTAACACAGCACGGTGGTTAACAACAACCTCTGAAGGCAGGCTGCCTGGGTTCTAACTCTGGCTTTATTGTTTACCAGTGCCTGGGCTGACGTGGGCAAAATATTTTCTGAAACTCAGTTTTCCCATCAGTAAAATGAGGATAAACATAGTACCTACCTCTCTGGATTGCTGTAACGTTTCAATTAGATAAAACGTAGTGTTCAGATAGTGTCTAGCACACAGTAAGAACACAACAAATGATAGCCATAAATATTATAACTTTGCTCTTAACTTAGAGACTTTAAAACCACACCAATATGCCATACATACTTAATTGTACTACTTTCTCATCAGGAAAAGTTTACAATATTCAGCCAAAAGACAATACACTCTATAAACTGTTTATAAGGCTAGCGAAGTGAGTCTTTCAAACGTAACCGGAAAGTTTTCTGGGATTAGCAAAATTTTTAAGTTACACTGGATCCAAGCTACAGAAAAGTATTTTATGTGAATTTGCAAATTCTCTGTACATTTTTCAATACAACAGTTTAAAACCTATTTTAACAAATTCATATCAAAAATTGTTCTAATTATTGTTAATCCTCATCCTAGTTCTTTTTAAAATGTTAATTGTACTCTACCACCTGTTTAAAAAAATTAAAGTCTAAACAATTTGTTGGACTAGTTGTTTTCTTTTGCATTATTTGCATGTAGCATTTTAACATGGCACCTAACAAAATTAATGTGCTTATTTTTGAATGTTTTTTTTTTAATTTTTTGTTTATTGAATGTTTATACATGTTTCTTATTTAATTATTTCCAAAAGATCAATACATATATGCACATGCATTTAATAAAGGAATACAAACCTCTCATCATATTTCTCATTTCAAAAAGATCTAAAAAATAACTTTAAAATTAAGTAACAAGAAATGGCATATAAATTCATTTTTCTGACTTATATCACATGCATAACATTTTAAGAATGTCCACTTTCAGTAATTTCTTACAAGAGGTATTCCACAATATTTCTCAGCAGTTTTAAAAAGTATTCATCAAACTACATATTAACATTTGTATTTTGAATTCTTTAAAATGAAGTCAGGCTTTTTCTGACAAAAACTATTTGAATAGCTGTTTTGTCAGTGAGGATTGGCTTTGCAAATTAATTTATATGGCAGACATTTCAACATCAAAGGCCAGAAGATCCCCTACGTTGAAGAGATGGAGCTGGGAGTTCAGGGAAGCCAAAGCAGTCAGAGTTGGCAGGGCAGTGCTGCAGAGGAGAGAGCTGCCCAGAGAGTTAACACCAGAGCTCTGTACAGGGTCCCCTTCGAGTATTCAGGTGAGTCATGTGAGGAAACTACCCGAGGCCGTGGAAAAAAATACCCAAAAAGATTAGAGGGAAAGTACCTAGAGCTCATACCAGCCTAGGATGTGCCTGTTTCCAACATCGAAAGTGGAAAGCTTCATAATTCACAGAATTCTGATTAAAGAAGGGTCTTGCCCCAGTAGCAGAGAAATTAACCCTAGAATGAACACAGCTCTGGCACTGCCTAAGAAACCTTAAAAGTAAAGCGATCAAACTGTTTCCCAATAAAGTAACCCTAGCGCAGAACAAAGTTCAAGAATATTTTTAGGAATATAAAACTATCCATCACCCAACAAGGTAAAACTCAAAAATTACAGGGATTAAAAGACATTCAATAAAAAATTACCAGGCATTAAAAGAAACAAGAAAATATACTCCAAAATGAGGAAGAAAAAAAAATCAATTGAAACACCTAGAATTTGCATAAATGACAGAATTAGTAGACAAGTACATTAAAACAACTATTATATTTTGTACATCTAAGAAGCTAAGGAAAAGAGTGAACATATTAAGTATAGACATGAAAGAGATTTTAAAAAGACCCAGATCAAACTTCTAGAGGTGAAAATTGCAATGTCTGATATAAAAAATACACTGGATAGGATAAATAGCAGATTAGACACTGCAAAGGAAAAGATTAATGACCGTGAAGACACAGCAAGAGAAACCATACAAAATGAAACAGAGAGAACAAAAGACTGAGAAAGAAAATGAATACAGCATCATGGAGCTGTGGGACAACTTCAAGCAACCAATATACGTAATTGGAGTCCCCCAAAGGAGGGGAGAGACAAAAAAATTATTGAAGAAATAATGGTCAAAGTGTTTCCAAATTTGATTAAAATTATAACCCACGGATCCAAGATGCTCAATAAATCCCAAAAGAAAACTATGTCAAGACACATCATAATCAAATAGCTTTAAACCAGTGATAAAGAGAAAATATTAAAAGCAGCCAGAGAAAAAGAACACATTATATACAGAAGCACAAAGATAAAAATGACAGCAGGCTTTTCATGAGAAATAATGTAAGCTAGAAGATACTCAATGGTGAAAAGTTCAAAGTTTTTCCTCTAAGATCTGGAACAAGACAAGGGTGCCCACTCTCACCACTCCTATACAACACAGTACTCGAGTCTCAGCTAGAGTAATCAGGCAAGAAAAGAAATAAAAGGTACCAGAATTGGAAAGGAAGAAGTAAAATTGTCTCTACTGCAGATGACATGCTTTTATATTGAGAAAATCCTAAAGACTCAACCAAAGAACTATTACATCTAATCAATTAATTCAGTAAAGTTGCAGGATACAAAATTAACAAACAAAAATCTATAGCATTTCTATACACCCACAATGAATTTTCTAAAAAATAAATAAAGAAATCAATCACATTTACAATAGTATCAAAAACAATAAAATACTTAGGAATAAATTTAACTAAGGAGGTGAAAGATCTCTACTCTGAAAACTACCAGACATTGATGAAAGAAATCGAAGAAGTCACAAATAAACGGAAAGGTATCCTGTGTTCGTGGATTGGAAGAATTAATATTGTTAAAATCTCCATACTACCAAAAGCCACGTATAGGTTCAATGCAATCTCTATCAAGATTCCAGGGGCATTTTTTACAGAAGTAGAAACAACACTCCTAAAATTTATATGGAACCACAAACAACTCCAAATAGCCAAAGAAATCCTGAGAAAGAAGAACAAAGCAAGACGCATCACACTTCCTGATTTCAAGCTATACAATAAAGCTATAGTCATCAAACCAGTATGGTACTGGCATAAAAACAGATGAGTAGACCAATAGAACAGAAATGAGAGCCAAAAAATAAACCCAAGCACATATGGTCAACTAATATTTGACAAGGGAGCCAAGAACACTCAATGGAGAAAAGACAGTCTTTTCAATAAATGGTGATGGGATAACTGGATATTCACACGCAAAAGAACGAAACTGGACCCATATCTTATACCACTTACAAAAATTAACTCAAAATGGATTAAATACTTAAATGTAAGACCTGAAACCATGAAATTCCTAGAAGAAACACAGGAATAACACTCCTTGACATGGGTCTTAACAATGATTTTTTGAATATGACACTTAAAGCACAAGCAACAAAATCAAAAATAAACAAAAGGGACTATATCAAACTACAAAAAGCTTCTGCACAGCAAAAGAAATGACCAACAAAGTGTAAAAACAACCTACAGAATGGGAAAAATATTTGCAAACCATTTATCTGATAAGGGGTTAATATTCAAAATATATAAAGAACTCACACAACTCAATAGCCAAAAAACAAATAGCCCAATTAAAAAATGGGCAAAGAACTCGAAAAGACATTTCTCCAAAGAACATACACGAAGAGCCAACAGGTACATGAGAAGATGTTCAACATTACTAGTCATTAAGGAAATGCAAATTAAAACCATAATGAGATATCACTTCAGAGCTGTTAGAATGGCCATCATCAAAAAGGCAAGAGATGAAAAATGCTGGCATAGCTGTGGAGAAAAGGAAACCCTTGTGCACTGTTGGTGGGATTGTAAATTGGTACAGCCACTATGAAAAACAGTATAGATGATCCTCAAAAAATGAAAAACAGAATTACCATATGATCTAGCAATTCCACTTCTGGAAACATATCTATAGGAAACAAAAACACTAACTAGAAAAGATACTTGCACCCCCACGTTCATAGCAGCATTATTTACAACAGCCAAGACATAGAAACAGCCTAAGCGTCCACTGATGGATGAATGGATAAAGAAGTTGTGGTATATACATACAATGGAATATTATTCAGCCATAAATAATGAGGAAAGCCTACCATTTGCAACAACACAGATGGAACTTGAAGGCACTAAGCTGAGTAAAATAAGTCAGGAAGAGAAAGACAAATACTGTATGATCTCACTTATACGTGGAATCTAAAACAAACAAACTCATAGAAAAAGAAATCAGACGTGTGGTTACCAGAGGCAGGGGATCGGGGGAAGGGGCAATTGGAGGAAGGTGATCAAAAGGTACAAACTTCCAGTTACAAGATAAATAAGTACTAGAGATGTAACACTGCTGTATGATGTATAGGAAAGTTGTTAAGAGAGTAAATCCTAAGAGTTCTCATCACAAGGAGAAAATTTTTTCCTTTTTTCTTTATCTTCTTTTTATTGTGTCTACATGAGAAGATGGATGTTAGCTGAACCTACTGTGGTAATCATTTCATGATATATGTAAATCAAACTATCACGCTGCACATCTTAAACTTACATAGTGATGTATGTCAATTATTTTTCATTAAAACTGGAAAAAAAATAATGCAAGCTAGAAGACAGGGGCAAAATCTTTCAAGTACTGAAAGAGAAAAACTGTCAACTTAGACTTCTTTAATGAGTGAAAATATCTTTCAAAAACAAAAGTGAAATAGAGAACTTTTTTACAAACACACAAAAGCTGAAAGAATTCATCCCCAATACACCTATACTACAAGAAATGTTAAAAGAGGTCCTTCAAGCAGAAGAAAATGATACCAGATGGAAAGCTGGATCGACACAAAGGAGCGAAGAGCACCAGAAACATTAACTATGCAGATCAATATAAATAATCTTCATGGTACAGGTCAGTGGAAAGTTCATTTTTAAAAAATACATCATCATAGGAACACTTCTCCATTTTCTTTACCATGTAAGTGTCCTTACTCAGAATGTTCTCTTGTTATAATATGCTTTTCATCTCCCCAAACTACACACAGTTATTTTAGGAGCCAAGAAAAGGAAAGAAACAGAGGGAAAAATAGAAGTGCAAAAAGAAGATCCGGAAAAGGAGCAACAAGAAACGATGTGAAGTGACAGGAGCCCTGTCTCACAGTCTGATTCAAGCAGAAGCATTTAATTCCAAGTCTTTGGGGGTAGGACATTTCCCTAGATCCAGGGCCATTCAATAAATATTTTCCTGCATTTCTCACAGCACTTGATGCCAGTGGGATCTTTGAGCCAAGGCAGAACAGTGACTGCCATTTAAGGAGCCCAAAGTAAATCAGAATTAACGCTTTCCTAATACCAATTTCTCTCTTTCCTTGGGTAAATTATGAAACTTTTGAGCTTGCCCATCTGCCCACAGGACAACTGAGAACACAGGTCTGAGTCAGAAGTCTGAGCACCTAACACATTCTAGATGTGTTCTTTTATCAAATGAGTCAATTAACCAATATTTCTCTTTCTACTCCAGTTTTCAGGAAGAAAAAAAAGCAATAGAAAGAAAATATGTGAAAAATGACTTATTTTAAATAAATTCTTTTACAGTATATTCTAGGGTCAACAGAAAAACATTCCAATATTCTAAATCTTCCTCACGTTTAGTACAGTACAGCCAATGGTCAGAAGGACACAGGACACTACAAGATCTGGAACCACCGAATAAAAACTACACCATACATAAGAAAGGATATTTATCCAAGGCAGAAAAGCAGGTTAATACATACTATTAATTAAAAGAATTTTAACAAGGATTGAAGCAAAATGGATTAACCTTCAATTTAACTAGAACAGTGGTGTCCAAATTATGATTCCATAAGAGGTGATGTAAGAGCCACAGTAGGGGGGAGGGGGAAGGGTCTTTGAGTACTGAGATTAAAACTCTGCATTCTCATTTCAACCCAAGCAGCTTGTTTCTTTTTATATTAACTATTGGGATTCTACTGGGTTTCTTAAAAAAAGGGAGGAAGGGGAGTAGATTAGCTGATTCAAAAAAGGAAATTTACGTATTTTTAGGAAGATATTCTTAATTTACTAAGTAAACATTATAAATCAAAAGATTTTTTAATACCATATCAATCTGTTGAAAAAACCATTTCCATTTATTATAAAAACTAAAATGCCCAGCCAAAATATTTTTGCTACCATTAAAAGTGACATTAAAAAGTCATTCCAGTCAATACTAACTTTATTCTTTTTTACTAGTTAATTATTTTATTGAGGTCATATTGGCTTACAAGATTGTGTAATTTCAGGTGTACATTATCATATTTTAGTTTCTGCATAGACTGCATCATGTTCGCCACCAATAGTCTAGTTTTTATCCGTCACCATACATATGTCCCCCTTTATCCCTTTCGCCCTCTCCCCATCCCCTCCTTCTCTGGTAACCACTAATCTGTTCTCCTCATCCATGTGTTTGAATAATAACTTTATTCTTAATTTACAAGTTGAAAAAGCATTAAACAAAAGATTTCCTGAAAAGCACTTTTTAAAATGTAACAAGTAACTATGGTCTCACCTGTACAGCACTATTAAGAAAGCAGCTGTTCTGTCCCGGTTCATTCAACAAGCCTTTGGTAGGAGCTAGGGATAGCATACTCCCAGGTTGATAAGCTTTTGCAAGATTGCCACCAGGTTTCCGTAAGAATTTTACCCAGGCCATTTTCAAGCAACTTTGTTTGCATTAAAGCTAAGAATTATACACTTAGGTGATATTTCTGATGATAAAATGGATGATGTCTTCAACTGTCCACTTAAATTCACCACAGTCTATTATTATAATATAAGTTTCCAAGTCCATGTCTTTCCTGATGCTGTAAATTTTTGAAGACTTTATCAAGTGAAAAAAGGCTACATAAACATCAAGGTTCTGAAAGCTTTTTTAAACAAGGCCTTAAAGATTTTTAAATGTGTTAAATTTTATAGGAGAGTTGTATAGTTTAAGATGAAAAAGATTTTTTAAAAAACTGCTAAAAATAATGTCGAAGAACAAATCATTGTCATTAAATCACAAGCCATTTGTCTTGATGGTTTAAAAAACAGAATCTACAAAAAGACGTAGAGCTGGCGTTTGGTATGATTCCTTTGGTCATTTGTTTTCCTTATGGTTTTTTAATAAGAAAGCAGACTCTGTCTTTCCCAGGTGAAGTTATCAAAGGTGACTCCGTATTTCATATCAATGTCACCTCAAAGCAAATCTACAAGAAAGAAAAGAAATGTTTAGACAAAAGTAAAGGCTAATCAAGAAAATTCCTACTTTACTATTTGAACACAAATATTAAATATATAATTAAAACTAATCATCAAAGGATGAAAACTAATAACATTCTATGAAAACAGTTCAACATTTAAATTTTTTTTAAAATGTCAGTGTAAGATCAATCACTGTCTACTCTCAAGATTTCAATATTCATATGATGGTTTCATAAGGAGAATATTCTACAGAAAATCAGAATTAAATTAGATCTTAAGTAGTATTTTGAAAAATACTAAATTGCTGTCAACACTAACTAGCTTTCTTTATTAAAACAAATGCATAACCAGAGACTATACTGTTGTCTATCTTATACACAGAATCATATTATTTTTCTAAGAAAGTAGATTTTATGTAAACTGATATGCATAACAACTCAGAAGAAACTTTAAAATGATAAACAAACCTGAGTAAATTAAAGTAAATTTCCATCTTATTCACAAATGCATGCTCCTGGCTAAAAGAACTTTAAATGCTAAACTTCTTAATTAAAAACAATGAAATATTACTAACAAAGTTTTGTTTAATCGATTGAATTTCCTTGCTACATTCATTCATTCAACAAACATTTATTGAGACATGTACTGTGCCAGGTACTGGAACTAACATTATAATGAGGAAAGGCAAGCAATAATACAATGAATAATAAATTGTAGCGTGAACTAGAAGAGTTATATGCTGAATACTAACAGAAAAACAATTCAAGGAAAGAGAATGGGAAGTGTATATACAATGTCAGACGGCTTGCACTTTTAAATAGGATAGTCACGGAAAGTCTAATTGAGAAGGTTACCTTTGCACAAAGATTTCAAGGAGGCGAAGATGCCACCTGGGAGCAGGCATTCCTAGCAGAGTGAACAGCATGCCTGGTATGTTGGAAGAACAGTAAGAAGCCCAGTGTGGCAGGAGAAATGCGGACAAAGAGGAGAGTAGATGAAAAGGGAGGATGGGAAAGAGATCATGTAGGGCCTCAATCATCTAAGTCCTCTGTAAGGACTTTGGCTTTAAACTCTGGGTAAAAGTCATTGAGTTTCATTTTCCCAGCACAAAAAGATGAGAGACAGAATAGGCACAGGTCAGTTCAATACCAGTGATCAAATACCCACTGGGATAGCAAAGCATTGAGGAACGAAGAAGAAAAGCATCAGTCTCTAAATAAAAGTCAGGAGACCTGTTTCCAGGCCAATGTATCAGCTCATCACTTACTAGCTATTGGGTCTTAGATAAATCCTTGTCATCTCTGATTCATAGCTTCTTCATCTATAAAATGGGGCTAAAAATAACAGACCTGCTTAACTTAACATAGGTTAAATGTTTCAAGAATTATAAAACACTATATTATGTCAGTTGTTTTCTTCTTTTTATTTTAACTCTATGGGTTGTAACATCTTCTAAAGTGATCTAAATGATCCCAAAACCTTTCATATGAATTAAGTTTTTTAGTAAATGTAGTCATTTACAACATTAAGGGAGCTCTGTATTGGTAGTAAATTCCTATTTTTAATGGAAGAATCCTTTTGAAACAATGTTCTTTCAACAGTCATTTACTAGGCACCAGGTCTGTACCACGAACTGTGCTCAAGTCTATGAAACAATCCCTACCCTTAATGAGTTTAGTTTGGTAAGGGGCACAGACTCAAACAGATAATTTAAAAACATTGTGGCTTCCATTCCTGCGCAAGACGTCAAACTAGTGTGTGTTCCTGGTTCTCTCCCCGCCACCCAACTCAGGAGATTATACAAAAGCAACAGGTAGTCTAATGAGAAACAGAGAGAAACCTTAAGGATGCCAAAAGTAACTGGCTTCAAAAGTGGGAGGGAAATAGCAGCAGAGAGAGAGAGGGAGGGCCAAGTGCTACAGACTGGGAAAGATCTTTCTAGTTCTACCTTTGCCGTTCCTCATTGCTCAGGGCAGAGAATTCCCACCCCACACAATGCAATGAAAGAGGACAGCTCTGCTATCACCCCAGTGCCATCTGGAGGGTAAGGGAGACGATGACATCAGGGAAGCATGAGAGCAAGGCCAGTTTGGGAAGTGGTAACAAGTACAGGTGCCTGCAAGGCCCGTGTGTTTTCTGTCCTCACCCCTACTCCACAAACAGGATGGAGGATATGAGGACCTGGAGAAGATCCTGCCTCTAGGCAGGGCAACAGGAAGTTCTTTTTGGAACCAACTCTCAAGCTGCATGACCCCAAATCAAGCCCTTACATCCCCACGTCTCTCCTTGAAATCATCTGAAGAAACAAATTAGAGCCTAGTGCTTTTACCCTTCTCCTCATGTAAATATTACCAGCTTCTAATTTGGTACTCCCAGGAAAAGGATAACCAGACACTTGCAGAGGACGAGCCCTATGAAAGAAAGGCAACAAACTGAACAATCTGTACTACAGGAAAGAGAATGAACAGACCAAAGGGACACAAATTTAAAATAAACTTAATAAATATCCACCAACTGAATATGAGTATATTTTTTAAAACTATTGAAATTAAAAAAACTCAAAGGATGAGTTAACTAGCAAAATAAATAGAAAGGAAGATCATATCAAAGAGCAGTAAGTTTAGGTCAAGAAATTCTCCTACAAAGCATTAAAAAAGGAATAAAGAAGTGGAAAATATAAACATTTAAAAAAGCTAAGAGACACGGATGAAATCTACAAGTGTCAATATCTAACTAAAAGGATTCCCAGAAAGAAAGGGGAAAAGTAAATTGAGTAAATACTTTCAGAAATGATTAAGATTTTTCCAGAATTAAAGACTGAAAAATCCAGAGAGACAAATAGAATAGATAACTCAAAAATCTAAACACGATGTGAGGAAGGAAGGAAGGAGGATGAAAATTAGGAAACCTTAAAAAAAAAAAAAGTAAGAGATTTTCAAGCCCATTTATAGGCAAATAATAAAAAGAAAAATAAACCCAAAACTAAACACTTGTAAAAACTAATACAACAGACAAAATCTTCACAAGCTTGATTAAGCAAAAAAAAAGAAAAAGAAACAAACACCGATAGGATTGATAAAGGAGAAATGACCACAGACAAATAAGCAACTAAACGAACTGTAAAAGAATACCACTTAAATCTTACGGCAATAACTTTGAAAATTTAAAGGAATAGGTAATTTCCTAGCAAAATACAAATTACCAATATTAACCCAAGAAGGAGAAAAGTTTGTTTGTTTGTTTGTTTTTTGGTGAGGAAGATTAGCCTTGAGCTAACTTCTGTTGCCAATCCTCCTCTTTTTGCTGAGGAAGATTGGCCCTGGGCTAACATCTGTGCCCATCTTCCTCTACTTTATATGTGGGACGCCGCCACAGCATGGCTTGATAAGCAGTGTATAGGTCTGCACCCAGGACCCGAACCTGCGAACCCTGGACTGCCAAAGCGGAGCACACTAACTTAACCACTACACCACCGGGCTGGCCCTGGGAAAATTTTTTAAAAGACTAGTTTAGAAGAAAATGGAAAGGAAACAAAAGTTCTCCCATTGAAAATGGCATCTGGATCACATGGATTCAAAGTTAAATTTTACTGAATCTTTAAAGAACTGTTAATTCTAACGTTAAATTATTGCAGGCCACAGGGAAAATAAAAAGTACCTCACATCCTTTCACGAAGCTAACATAACCTTAATACCAAAACATGATGAAATTCAGCCCAATGTGACATATGATTACAGATGCAAAACTTATAAATAAAACTCTAACAAACATAATTTATCAATGTGTCAAAAGAATAACGTACTATTGAAAAGAATAATAATCAAGTAGGGTTTATTCCAGGAATGCAAATATGATTCTATATTTATTCTTTCAATAAATATTTGGGAGGCTGCTAAGAGAAGAGCTAACAGCAATATTCATAACAGCCTAAAAGTGGAAACAACCCAAATGTTCATCAACTAATGAATGGATAAACAAAATATGGCGTATGCACACATGTGGACGTGCATATGTATTTTCATATAATGGAATATTATTCAGCCATAAAAAGGAATGAAGTACTTATACATGCTACAATATGGAGGAACACTGAAAACATTTTAGAAAGTGAAAGAAGCCAGTCACAAAAGACCACACATTGTATGATTCCATTCATACAAAATGTCCAGAACAGAGAAATCTACAGAGACAGATAGTAGATTAGTGGTTGCTTAGACTGGAGAAGTGGGGGCTGTAGAGATGGGGGGTGAAGGAGTGTTGGTTAAAGGGTACAGGGATTCTTTTCGAGGTGGTGAAAAATTGTGGTGATGTACATTTCTCTGAGTATATTAAAAATAACTAAATTGTACACTTTAAATGAATGAATTGTATGGCATGTGAATTATATTTCAAATAAAGCTGCTTAAAAAAAGACAGGAAAAGAAAAGAAGACAACATAGCAGGCCAGAGATTGCTATCCTCAGAAAAGCCTGCTTGCAAGGTTTTAGCCTTTGGGAACTTACGGCTTCAGGAGGATTCCCACCACAATAACTGGTAAGAGTCACTGACTGTACTTAAACCATGCCAGTAAATATGGTTTATCCTGAACACCCGCTTTTCTTTTGGAATTCTGGAAATTTGGTACATCTTAGGTGGAGGATGCCTATGTGATTACCCTATCCCCTGCAAATAAAGACCCAAGGCACTGAGTCTCTAACTAGCTTCCTGGCAGACATTTTATATA